ATATATAAGTTCACACTGAATGAGGAAAGATTTAATCAAATCTCTGTAAAATTATGAACCATAAATTATAAATGTGACATGTTTTATAGCGGGAATGATTGGATAGTATTTATGTTTCAACAAACTTTATAGTCATTAAATTTCATTTTATGTTACTAGAAGGTGACAACAGGTTTAGTTATAGCACAAGATTTTAAAAAGAGGACTGCCTGTAGTGTTTATTACTAAACAAGCCAGTTAAATAACAAAGAGCTGAAACACGCAGGTTCGACACAAATSCCTTCACCAGCTTACCTCTCCGCCTTCAGCGCTCTTCAGCAAGTTCTTTCCGACTTTAGCCAGGTCCATTTGAGCCATTTTCTAAAGAACTAAACTAACCTCGTCTTTAAAGACGAGCCCGGTTCGGTCCAACAGAACCCACGTGAGTCGAGAAGCTGCAGTACTGTTTTGACACMTAATAAAACTGTTGCGAAACAAACTAGTTCCTGAAACGCCCATCAAACGTCAACGACCAATCAGAATCCGCCTGGGYTTCAATTTTAACCAATCAGCGAGCTCAAAGTGGAGTTGGAGGGCGGGCCTTAGTCAAGGAACCTGTGCTTCTATTCAAATTCACCTTTAAAAAGCTTTGCTTTTCTTAAAACCACTTCTAGTTTCTCCTTAAAATACCTGTCTGATTACATTTTAAACGAAACAGTGAAGGAGGTTTTCAACTTTAGCTTAAACTCTTGCACAAATATTTGAAAATATGCATTTTTCATAATGCAGGTTGCATAAGGTGTTGTGAGGTCAAAGGTGGTTTTTATAACCTTGCTTTTGGTTATATGTCTTCAGTCAACCAGATGAAGATTTAAAACCTGTTCACAGTTYATCTTAGCTCTCAGATCTATTTCAGAACTCTAGGATATGTGATTATCAGATTTTTAAAAATCTAATAAAATATAAGCGTTGTGGTTTTCTTATTGCAGAAATAATGCAAACAATACTTTAAACAGGAAGTTATGTATGAAGTGAGAGGAGTTTGTCATCATGCAAGGAAGGACTTGAGACTTTTTATCTAACAAAAATCATAAATAAAATGTAAAATCATTTCTAGTTCAAGCACATATATAGCTTTTTTCAGTCTATGTCCAGCTTAACTCACTGCACAGGACTATAAGCACTTCAGAGACCATTTGCTGCCACCCAGRGTTAAAGAATATGTCCAACGTGGTCATTTAGATCAGTGGTTCCCAAACTTTTTGTCTTCTGACCCACAAAATATTCATGGCAAAAAATTGTGACCCCAAATATTACTGGTCTGAGTACACAAATGTTGTTACTAACCCTAAAACCACAGGCTTTTTGACAATCTAAACAGCTTGTACACAAATATAAATACTTATTTATACTTTTTTGTGTTTTTGTAATAAATTAAGGGAAAATATTACATCAGCAATTATTTTATTACCCTTTAAATTGATTTCTGGAGATTATCCAAGGTGCTTCATGACCCATAATTGGGTCCCAAGCCCAACTTTGGGAACCAAAGTGCAGTGGTTCCCAAACTTTTTACCTTTTGACCAACAAAATAGTACAAAACAGTAGCAGAGTACTGTGCACCCAGCTATTTTTGGATGGTAAACATTTGCATCAGGTCAACAAAACAAGGGCATGGTAACAATATTTTTATTTATCCATTTTAAATATACTAACCTCACTCATTTATAACAACTAAGGCAAAAGTGTAATTAATTCAGAAAATATTTTCAGGACCCCCACCTTGATGTTTCGGGACCCCACTTTGGGTCCCGACCCCAACTTTGGGAAACACTGCAGATGATTTAGGACTTTGGCTTTACATTAAGTCAAGGCAGACAGGAGTCCAGGGATGGCTCTTTGTTATGATTCTGCAATAAACGTCATATTTGTATTTTTCTTAAACATTTAGGCCACAAAAATGTTTCAATGAAATAGAAAAAAACACTGAATTACTTGCTGGTGATATTAAATTATTATACCATCTGGGGTTCATTTATCTTTAGTGAGTGAAGGTGTGTAACCTGCAGGTCGGATTATAAAACTAAATTTCAATTAAGCATAATGAGCCTGCATTGAGAGGTGACTCTAAAATGACTCCAGTGTTTCTGCAGGGACCATTAAAATCTATTATGCTGCCATTTAAATAAAGGAATAGTTTGTTGGTTCTGAGAATCTGAACAGAGGTTTATTTCAAAACCACATGTAAACCTCCCATTCCCCCTTTAAAATGGACCGACTCAGAAAACACAAAAGACTAACTAAAAGCACAACCTGACAGTGAGRCTTTTCAATGTAAACTGTGGTTGCAACAAATACAGCATCAGATTCAACTTATTGTCGCTTGAAAAAGTGAGTCGTTGAAAAATTTGTTTCACTAAAATTCTTCTCCTGCATCAAGTCAACATGTCGGATGTGAAAAAGTGTTGCTTATTTCTCTTATTCCTAATTGTGGACCTGTACAGATGAACAAAATCGACGCAAATATTCATTATTTTAAAATAAGTCCTGAGCAGAAAACAGGAAACATGACCAGAGTGCAGAAATTTGAATTTGTCTCTGTGTTATGTCATTGTTTCATTCAATTGAGAACATCAGTGTGTTTCAGTCAATATCCAGCAAAATGCATTAAATTCCATAATTTTAAGTGACCTTTGTATGTTTTTTTGTAGACACCTTAAAAATCATTGTGTAGATTTAATATTACTTGTTTATTGTTTAAAGTTAGCTTACATTATAAAAATACTGTAATTTTCAGTTGAACCTTTAATTTATTAATCTCATTGTATTATTATTATTATTATTATTATTATTATTATTATTATTATTATTATTATTATTATTATTATTATTATTATTATTATTATTATTATTATTATTATTACCGTAGTAGTAGTAGTAGTAATAGTAGTAATAGTAGGTAGTAATAGTAGTAGTAGTATGATTTTGCTTGGAGTAAATGATCAAAATGGGTATTTTGTGAGCATGAACCTGAAACATATTGAAGATGATATTGTTTAAGAGCCRGTGTCATGAACCTGTACGTGTGTACAGTAAACATGCGCGTGGACGGACAGATGCGTCCGCGGTGCTGATGCTGCAGGGAGGGGCGTGACGTCACGGGAGAGACCGGGAAAAGAGGCGAATGGGGGAGACGAAGAGAGGGGGGAAGGAGGAGAAGGGACGCAGGAGCGAGCGGGGGGGCATGATTGTATCAAAGAAAAAGAAAAAAATAATAACATTATTATTAACCATGGCTCCTCTAATTGACACTACAGGGTGGGTTTGTCCATCATAATGGCTCCACTGTTTACCTCCACAGTGCACCGTTATAAATGAGGAGCCGGCCCAGTAAGGTAATTATTTTTTACGTCTTTATTTGCACGTCTTCTTCATCCCCCTGACACTCGATTGCCTGGTGTTCACCTTTAAGACCTAAATATCAAGGAAAACATCGAAGATGAGTCGCCAGTAAAGAAAAGGCAGCTATCTGCTCAGTCTGCATGTTCCAAAAATTCGACCGATGATGACGCGTTGTTCTTTCAAACGTCTCCACAGCGGCTCCGTTGTGTCTTTCTCTGCCTACATGAAAAATTAAAATGGAAACCGGCTTCATGAGAGCGCTGCCGCATAGTACACTCTCTGCTGTAGTCAGCCATGGAGAGCACATGGGCTCTGCGCACAACATGCGCACTGGTTTGCAGTGCGTCGTGTTCATCAGCCCCATCTGCTAATCACTGCAGTGTCCTTTTTTCACAAACCTATCAGCATCCGCAGCGTTATAATACTCACAGTCTGCAGCTGATCCTATGACCCCTAATTTGATTATTCATGCTATAAAGCTGAGTTTTAACTTGCTGTTGTATAACTCGGTTTTTCTTTTTTTTCTTTTTTTTTTCTCCTTCTACATGCTGCAGTCTACTCCAGCTTGAGAGAGATGTCATCTCCAGGCATGGGCACCCCCAGTGACCCCCTCTTGGCCAGTCCAGGAGGGAGGTTACCCACCRCTCAGGAAGGCCTCTGGCGGAGCTCGCTCCCTAAAACTGCCAGCTTCCCAACATCCACCACCCGCCACCTCAGTCACAGAGCCAACAACTTCCAAAGACAGCCAAAGCGTAGGAAGCTAATACGACCTTCACCGCCTCCCCCGCCCAACACGCCCTGCCCCCTGGACCAGTTGGACCTAAGCGAGCTCCCCCCGAGACGGACCTTCCACGAGCTGCTCTTCAACGGCTGCATCCTGTTCGGCATTGAATTCAGTTACGCGATGGAAACAGCTTACGTGACTCCTGTGCTTTTACAGATGGGTCTACCTGATCAGTTCTACAGCTTGGTGTGGTTTATCAGTCCCATTCTTGGTAAATGGTGCACAAGGGGGCGTGAGAGGTACTGTGATTTGGAAAAAAAAAACATTGACCTGACTGACACTGTTCTCTGTATCTGTCTTTTAGGATTCCTCGTTCAGCCTCTCATCGGAGCGTGGAGTGATCGTTGCACATCCAGGTTTGGGCGGAGGAGGCCCTTTATCCTTGCTTTGGCTGTAGGTAAGACATATTCAGAAAGTATTTTCCATGGCACCTGAATGAAGTCATGGGGGGAAAAAATCAAGGAAAATGGTGAAAACCATAGAAGCCAATAAATAAATAAATAAATAAATAAAAAGCCTTCCACATTATTTTTTCTTTTCAGACATTTCTTTTCTGTTTTTCCCGTTTAGGAGCTTTGGTTGGTCTAACCCTAGTGCTGAATGGACGGGACATTGGGGGTGTCCTGGCCGACACGGCGTCAAACCATAAGTGGGGAATCGTCCTGACAGTGTGCGGTGTGGTTCTGATGGACTTCAGCGCCGATTCAGCCGACAACCCAAGCCATGCCTACATGATGGATGTGTGTAGCCCAGAAGACCAGGATCGAGGGCTGAACATTCACGCATTACTAGCAGGTAATGGAAAGCACCTTTACTTATTGAAATTGGGGCAATAACTGATGTTTAAAGTTGAACAAAACAAATTATGAGTTTTTTTAATTGAAACAGATGCTTTGGATAGTATTTATTAGCTGTGCACACTTCGTTTAAAAGAAAAGGATTCCTGAAAGAGAAGCTATGTATTTTGGTTCACAAAACTATAAACTGTAAAGTAAAATGGTGTAAAACTCTCCAAAATAGCGTTTACTTAGAATGCAATGCATTTTGTGAGGTTTAATTTTTTTGTTCTGTCTGAGCAGTGATTAGCTTTGCTAGCTTATCAGATTTTCTGACTGCGGGTTGGACAGATGTTAAATGCATAAAACATAACATCCGTCACAAAGCCACAGCACAAATAAACCAAATTGTCCCTTTAAGCTGTTTCTGTGACACTGTTGTGTCCCTATTTTTGCACACAGGACTAGGAGGAGGTTTCGGCTATATTGTCGGTGGCATCAACTGGGACCAGACACACTTTGGAAGATCGATGGGGGGTCAGCTGCGGGTCATATACCTGTTTACGAGCATCACGCTGGTGATCGCCACAGCCATGACTCTGATGAGCATTCCCGAGAGGCCGTTACCGAAAAGCCAAACGAACAAAAGCTCGGGTAAAAACCATCTAAAAAGCCCCAGCCTCCCTCTTCCTCCCTCCCCTCCTGTTCCCCCCGGAGTGGTTCTGGGACTCGACGAGGAGGAGGAAGGGCTTTACAGCTACAACTTTGCAAATTCTCATCCAGGGAATTCCGACCCGTTGGCCCATTCTTGCAGCGCAAAYGCACGTCTTTGTGCTGGCCTCACTAGTCCCATCTCACCCCTGAGCCCCCTCACTCCAAAATACGGCAGCTTTATCAGCAGGGACAGCTCGCTCACGGGCATCAATGAGTTCGCCTCCTCATTAGGAACCTCCTACATAGACAGTGTGCTCATAGACTGCTACACAGGTCAGCAGACTCCTCCGGCCCTGGCCCAAAGCTCCACCGCCGTGCCCCTGCCTCCAGGGGACTCTCCTCCCCCTCCTCCTGACAAATCCTCACAGATGGGAGAGAACACTCCTGCGGGACAAACCCAGACCGATGCTGGGTCTCATCCAGCTGGGGAGGGTCAGGATGCAGAAACACTTCAGCCTGAGGGAGACGCACAACCTCAGAAGGCTCAGGTTTCAGCCGGGTCTCAGCCCGGCGCAGGGTTGCATCGGGGCTCCACTGCCGGCATCTTAAAGCGACCCCAGAGTCTCGCGCTGATAGGGGAGCCCGCGGCGACGCAGATAGTTGGGCTAGAGAACGGACGCAGGAGGACAGTGACCTTTAGCCAGCAGGTGGGACACAAGCAGCAGTAAAGTCTGATTAGTGAGGATCCACCACAGCATTTATTTCTTCATTTCCCCCTCTGAACTAGGTTGCAAACATTCTGCTGAACGGAGTACGCTACGAGAGTGATCTGAGTGAGAACGTGGAGACGGGAGAGTCCCAAATGTCAATGAAGCTGCTGTGTATAGCCATCTACAGGATGCCTCCCTCACTGCGAAGTTTATGCACTAATCATTTCCTGGGTGAGCATCGCTTCGTTTGAAATTTGATTCGTATTGAATTTGTGCGTTGTGACTGAACGCGGTGTTCTTCGCTTGTAGGCTGGTTGTCGTTCGAAGGCATGCTTCTCTTCTATACCGACTTCATGGGGGAGGTCGTGTTTGAAGGAGACCCCAAAGCGCCCCATGACTCTGAAGCTTACCAACGCTACAACGCTGGGGTCAGCATGGGCTGCTGGGGCATGTGCATCTATGCATTCAGCGCTGCTTTCTACTCAGGTAAAAACCTCCTACCCACGTCATGAAGTGGAGCCGTGTGGCGGTTAGTCTCACACTTTGTCTCCTACAACCTGCAGCCATACTGGAGAAATTGGAGGAGCGTTTCTCTCTTCGCACTCTCTATTTTTTTGCCTACTTGGCGTTCGGTTTGGGCACGGGGCTCACCACGCTGTCCACCAACCTCTACGTGGTGCTGTCRCTCTGTGTCACCTACGGGGTGCTGTTCTCCTCGTTGTGTACGCTGCCTTACTCTCTGCTGTGTGAATACTACCAGAGCCCACAGGTAAGTAAATGTAAATCACTTTACATCTTTGTGAGCATTGTGCTCGTTTACAAGCCCACAATTAGAAAACAACAGAAAAAAAGTATAATGCGGGACATTTTGGGGCAACTGTTGTTTGATTTTAGAGAGTACATTTTCTCAGAAAAGTTGATGATAGAATAGAATAGAATAGAATAGAATAGAATAGAATAGAATAGAATAGAATAGAATAGAATAGAATAGAATAGAATAGAAACAGCCTTTCTTGTCCCGCGCGGGGAAATTCAGGTTTAGTAGCAGCAGCAGGTACATATATCAATCCACAAAAACAATATATTGCTATGTGACAATATCAGTTGTAGCAATAATAACAGAATTAAAGATATAAGACTAAACATGAAGAGTAATGACTCAAGACTTTGGTAATGTTAATGCTTTTTTATAAAAACTAAAGAGGAAGCCACAAAATTTGATGTTTGAAAGTTATGTCATTTCTGTTCCAATAAACCAAGACTATTCAACTAAATTACCCCACAGTTAATGCAGGTCAACACACCACAGGGGCCGAACATACAGCATTTAAAGTCATTTTTTAAATAAACCAAGTATTACAAAGATCTGTTACCTTTGAAATAGTTTGTTTTGCTGCATTTAATCATGAATACAACATACAGAATCCTATTTAATAGAAGTAGTGATAATTAAGCAATGTCAAGAATAACATGTTATGTCTCCTGTTTAACACAAATATTATTTTGGCATCTCTGACTTGCCAAAACTTCAAACCAATATTATTTTCACTTTCATAGTTTTCTCTTCAGGTGCTGGTAGTTTTAGCTGTCTTGAGTGTGCATAGAAATGGCTTCTAACCAAGATTCTGATGTTTCTGTAGATACCAAACATGTCTACAGGATGTCTAACTTCCACTAACGGTGGTTTGGGCTTAATTGATGAATTAACTAATTGGCGGGCCGAATTTTGGTCACTTGCGGTGGCAAGAGCTGTTCAACTGGTGGCCCGCTGGCCGCCAGTTGAATAGCCCTGCAATAAACTATCTAAAATAGCTACCAATGTTATTTTACAGCCAGTTTTTGGCTGTTATTGTGGTTTGTTTTGTTTACAGCTGCATGTTAAAATGTGTAAAAACTCTGATTGCATTCTTACTTGTTACTGTTTATGCACCTACAGTGACCACTACCGTTATTATCAGGTATCAGTTTATGTATTTTTAGCACTTGTATTATCTTGTTCAGTGTCACCGGGRAGCTGATGCCTTTCTCCAGCGGTCAGTGGGTGACAGGCAGGGGACATCCTGGACAAGTCGACAGTCCGTTACAGACATTATCGATTTTTTTTTTATTTCACCTGGATTCTCTTTCATTCCTGTCCACTGTCAGACTCCTAAATGCTGCRCCCTAATAATAACAGGGAGAATCATTGCGTATTGGTCCAGCTAATAATGCTTTTGCATGTTTCTTTGACTTTTGCCCTGAACTGTAGCATGCTCAGTTGCACATGAAGCTGAGGAATGGAACAGGTCCTGAAAGATGCCTGTGATGAATATAAGACAAAGCCAGCAGCTGGTTGGCTGCCTTTTAGCATCTCTAGAGCTCTATAATTAGAAATGTTTATGCTGTGTTGTTAAAAAATGTAATTTTACGCTTATAATAGGAGCACAGGGATCATTGTCCAGGATGTGAAACTCTTCTTTATTAATCTGTGTTTGCTGTGATGAAGCAGCTAAACAACTTGTGTGTGTGTTTTTTTTTTCAGTTCTGTGGCTCGTCCGAGGAGGGAACCAGGCGAGGGATGGGGGTGGACATCTCTCTGCTCAGCTGTCAGTACTTCCTGGCCCAGATCCTGGTTTCTGTGGCGATGGGACCTCTGACCTCTCTGGTGGGCGGGGCTCAGGGAGTGATGTATTTTGCGAGCCTGATGTCATTCGTGGGTTGCCTGTACTCCTCTCTCTGCGTGGTGTACCAGCTGCCCCCCACTGAGGGTGAGCCCCCCGAAAGCGAGACCCAGCCRCTATTGGCGCACATTTAACAAAATCCCTCCTCATTCTGTTCACCTCACCAAAAAAAACACCGAGCCACGCGCACTCCCTTACTGTCCTCTGGTGTCTGAGTGCGTCCCGTGGCTCTGATAGCGACAGACACACTGCACATTCTGCCGCACACTGTAACAGCACGGTTTCACATGATTTACGCTGATCGGCCCAACAGACAGACAGACATCGGCCACCACTCTACCAGGTGTAAAACATGACCCATGTGTTCATACAGTGTGTGTGCCCACACATTCGCTTCCTTAATTTTTTTCCCCAAAATGAATGTGTGGCCATTTTGAGCGTACAGTCCCCTCAACACCTACTGAAACAGCGAGACCTGCTTCTTTAATTTGGCGCCACAGAAAACGTTTGGGTTCAAAAATCAAGACCAGAGGTCAGCGTTTTTAATGTATGGCTTTCATCTAGGTCTGTGAAAAGTGTAGAAAATGACATTGTTTTGTTGTGAAACTTCCAGCTTTAAGGGATAGTTCAGATTTTTTGATGCGGAGTTTGGTGAAAGCGTTTTAAACAGTAATTATCTTACCTGTTATAGATAGATTGGCTGGAGTTTTATTTTGACAGGACTGAAAAGTTACAAGTTGTGTAAGAAGAGAACAAACTGGTCTAAGCAGAGAACAAACTGGTAGGGGTGCAACGATAGAGAAGATTCACGATTCGGTTCGAAACTTTAGTCTCACAGTTCAATATTTTTTCGATACAAAAAAGAGAAATTTCCATGGCCTTCATAACTTGTAATTTGTTGAAATTAATTGAACAACCTCAAAAGTACAGTTTTTTAATTAAATGTTGGTGAAACTTTGTTTCTCGGTGGATCTGTGCTCGACAATGCAGCCTAGTGGAGTAGTCTAACACAGATCTACTGAGCATTCAACACAACACAGCTTCAGAAGACAAGCAGATCAAATAAATGTTATACAGCTGTATTGTTCGATACAAGTGTGTATTGAACGTAAAGCACTGTATTGAACGGTTCGATACAGGTACATGTGTTGTKGCACCCCTACAAATTGGGTCTTGAAACAACTTCAGTCTCAGACATTTTGCAGCAGTTTATTACAAATCAAATATTTACATCTAAACTTTATTTGTCRTGGTTTTCAGGCAGGGAAGAACCCATGGCACAGGCAGTTTCAAAAAGTCAAAAAAATCAAAATTTATTTAAACAAAAAGTGCTGACAGGGCAGCTCAAAAAAGCTTACATGACTTGGCAAAACAAGGACCATAGAACCATAAAGGCTGTAAGCAGTACAATGATTAGACAGGGAAGTGAAGACCAGACACAGAATATAAAGGTGAGACTAATGAGCACAAACAGGAAACACCTGGGGGAGAAACATGAGSATCAGGTGTGAGTGGGCGGGGCTGGAGCAAAGGCAGACAGGAGAAAGAACAGAGGACAAGAAAGAAAACTTAGAATAATTATAAGCAAAGACACTGATCATGACAATTATTAATGTATTTTGAGTTTCTATGTTCGTATACTTTTGGGCTTCTTTGGCTTCACATTATTAACAGTAGCAGTTTCTAAACTGAGTAATGAAATGTAAATATCTAAAAAGAAAAACTGAAAGGTTAGTTTCTTGTTTTCATTTTATGTCAAACCCAAATGGATTTGGAGTACAGGAAAATTCAAATCTCAAAACAAAAACTAACAAACTGGCCTCGCTGTTCCATTACTCTTGAACGGGGCTGTTTGTGTGAGTGAATCCTTTGAGTAATAATGCTAATTTTGTGTCTGATTAAACACAGTCAAGTCATTTTTTCCCCCCTTGCTTGTTTGTTGTGTGTTTGGGACAGTCGTGAAGATCACTTTGTGTAAGCTAACCACAGCTTTCCTCTCTTCTTCTTCCTTCGATTAGTTTCCTAACATCTGCATGAGCTGCAGTGTGATCTCTCAGATCAACATAACAGATTGTTTTTTAATTATTACTATTATTATTTTTGGTCATTTGGCTGAAGGAATGTCTACCTGCCTGTTGCTCTGAGTTAGCTAATATAAAAGCAACCGTTTTCTGTGCTGCCAATGACTGCTCACACCTAAAATCCTTTCTGTGAGTTCAAAAAGCTTGTTTAGCTCTTGAATTTATACTCATCTGAATCCACTGAAGACATTTTTAATGTTCTATTGAAGGGCTTTAACATTGTCACTTTTTTACAGCAAACACCAACACGTTTCACCGAATAGTTAGTATTAAATTTTATCACTGTGCTCCCAAATTTTAGGCTTTGAATTCAAGTATTTTTTTCCCAACATATAAGATAGAACACATACACTAATTCTCTCCGGGCCCTCACTAAGCCACGGGCAGCTCTCTGAGCCGTCAGCGTACTCCCCCACCATACCAATGTAATAATGACAGTGATTCTTGTCATTGTCAGGAAGAGAAGTTGAGACTGGGGTGTGAGGCAGCATTCAGTCGAGCAAAACAGAAGAACAACAAACAGAGAAGAAGATTCACGTGGACTGTGGGTAACTCTGAAGATGGACGACATTTAAAAAAAAACACGTGGGGGATTCAGAGCCAGCAGCAAGCGCTTCTAGTCATCATTAGGGTGCATGCTTAAAATAGTAGGCTTCTGCTCCACCATGCTTGGGCCATCCACTCAGTAAAAGTCCTCCACTGGAAGTTACTCATTCCCTTCTGATCCTAAAGACACCTTCATCAGCAAATTATAGATTTTTTTTTTAAATTGCTGTGCTGTGGCAACCGTCCAGCCTCAACACAAGACATTTTATGTAAAACCTTTTGTTGTGATGGTTTCGAGCACCCAAACGTTAACGGTGCCTCTGCAGAATGTCAATAATTGCCTACTATTAAAGCCTCCTGGACTGACCGGACGCACGCCATGCTAACGTTTCTTAGGGAACAGGAACTGTATGGATTCTGCTGTAACAGCTCGCTTGAGGAATAAAACACAGTGTCTGTGTTGTACGGTACCATCTACTTGCTCAACAATATTGTAAAAGCTGCTTTTATTCAGGGTTCAGTTAAAAACTAAAAAAACGATCCTTTTGCCATGTTTCGCCTCCTGTGTTTTTTTTTTTAATCCATGAAAGCCTCCACAGCTTGCATCAATTACTCAGACCTGAAATTTTCAAAGCACGCCACACGGCGGAGCCACAATCCACAGGCGCAGATGAAACTCAAAATCGATTCAGCTCATCCTGTTCCATTACCGAGTGAAAATTACCCCGGCTTCTTCCTGTGCTGAAGCCAGCCATTTTCCATGTGAAGGAAACTGGGTCAAGTGACATCATTCGGCATGAATATGTAGGCTTTCAAACAGCCCAGATCAATTAACAAAACAGAACAAACGCAAGTAAAAAGACAAATTTATTTCTTAATCAGAATATACAAAGCAGTGGCTGAGGTAACCTAATGCCATTCTGGTTATGAAAAAAGGCAGTCTACACAGAATCGGGCTACTCAACCGTTAACGTAAAACTCGAGAAATGCAAGAAAAAACAACATATAAATGGTACAAACTTGCGTGGAATGCATACAGAACAAATGACCAAAGCTTTAAGATTTAAGAGGGGTTAATTAACATTGCAAAAAAATCCTGCCTCCACAGAGAAGGGTCAAACAATCGATCTGTGGAGGTGCAACACACAGCTCCATTATTTATTTGCACCGTCTGTTACATTAACAGGGCAGCCAGGGATTTAAGTAGCAGCTTAACACAAAAGAAAACAAAAACAAAAACCACTGTAACTAATAATGTCAAACTGTCTATTACCCCCTGCTTAAAACTTATCTTTGGTCCTTTTTAAGTGTATCTGAGAGGTCAACATGAGCCTTTAAGGTGAGCAGCTGCCTGTATGAAACATCTGGTCAGCACTGTCATAATAGAGATTGTGCTTCCAACATACTGATGTGAAACGTCAGGAAATGAAAAATAATGATCTTAAGTTGTGGCCCAACTCGTACGAGTAGAAAAGGAAAAAGCTCATTTTAAAGACCAATAAATAACATTTCATGTAAAAAAAAAAAAAAAGTATGCAGGACCACCACGTTTCAAGACTCCAGTGCAATGAAATAACATGGGAGCAACCAAAAAAAAAAAAAAAAAAAACTCTTTCGAAGATACAGAAAGCACAAGCTCTAAAACACGATGTTGACCAGGCTGGTGAGACGGAGCCGCAAACATGTAAGCAGGGAAAAGACCTAAGCCTCCACGTCTGCCTCTTTTGAATCTCCATTTTCCTCTGTTTTCTGCTTTTTTGGCTCCGCTTTTTCCTGATGAGGGGAAAAAAAAAGATCACACATAAGCAACCAGACATCACCAGATTARTCAAAGCCAAGTGATTAAATCGTGTACTTCAGCCTGAAGACAACCCACCTCCTCCTCCTCCTCCTCTTCCTCAGCTGCACGCTTCACAGGCTGTGCATCAGTCTCCTCAGCAGGGGGCGCCTCCTCTGCATTTTCTGCACAGACCAGAATGCAAAGAAGTCTTTTTTTAATACTTGTATTGTACTCACAGCGGGTTCACTTGCAGACAGGGTCATCAAGTAATTAAGAGATACAGCCTCAGGGTCATACGTAAGGAAAACAAGTCCAGAGAAATATGCAGCATACCATTTCCATTCTTCTGTTCCTCTTCTGTAGTTTCTTCCTTTTTCTCATCATGTTCTGCGCCGTTCTGAATGAAGGCAGAGAAAGTTGAAGGGGTAAGAACAAAACAGTGAAAGGGGGAAAAACATCCTAGACACAAACATTTACACGTTTCCTCTTGAGAGCCTTCAAAAATAGACACGCGTGTGGACCTCTTATTGGCTCCCCAGAGGATTAACTACCAAGCTGTGAGAAACCAGACTGGAGAAACCAATGGAGACGTCTAAATGGTTGCTAGCAAACATCTGTGCCGTTTCACAACCCAAACAAAGCGGTGTGCGGAGGGGGGGCTGAACAGGAGGTGGAGACGGGTGCAGCGACACCTGCATGATGAGGGGCGCCAAGACAAAAGACCATGAGGCCGGTTTGTGTTTCACACTCACTGTGCCATTGGCAGGTGCGTCCTCACTGTCGGTCTTCTTCTCCTCCTCCACCGCCTCCACTTCTTTCTTCTCTTTCAGCTCCTACAAAATAAAAGCATGGACAATCAACATCAGGGTTTTTTTTTTTTTTTTTTTGTCGAAAGCGTAAACTCACGAGCCACAGTATTCCGGTTTATACACAACTCGGTCAAAAATTCGCCGTGGAAAACACACAACGTTTTGGAAGAAAGACGAAAAAAACAATTACGAGTTTTGTTTCCACCGTGACACCGCGGTGTGAAGGCGCTGCGGCTTCCCGCCCACAGCAGCCCCGCTCCGCCAGCTGCACCGTTTCCACCGCTTTGTTTGCTCGACAAATGCTTTTCAACCATTCACATCGCACACATTTCCACTTCCACACACAAACACTGCCTACCGACGCTTAAACACGGAGTCTACATCGTTTAATCGGTCATTTGCGTCGTGAAAACAAAWAGCATTTCGAGACAATTTAGATAATTCAAGTTTCCTCCATTAGACTCAACTTAAATTAAGTCAAGTTGACGGTAACGACTGATAAAAATCGCCAAATTAATCACGTGTTTCGTTTGTTTTAGCTAAACTACTTCTTGCTGGAAAAAAAAGTTAGCAGAATCTTTTTACACGACAGTTTCTTCAGCATCCCCCCCTCCCCTAAAGATTAAATGAATGAAACGCACCTTGGCTGTAACCTCTGTGGTGGCGGTCGTGTCAACAACTGTGTCGGCCATGGCTATAGTTTAGTAAAAAATAATTTAGATAATTATAGTCCTGTTTAGAGAGAGAGAGAAAAAAAGATTTATTTCTTTTTCTCTCTGTGCCTTCGTGTAGCCACTCCAAAGACGCTGAGAAAGAAATGGATGTCTGCCCTTCTCCGCTTTTCTCTCGAGCTCGTTGAAAATCCACTCTCGTTGGATACGACGGCAAGATCCTGCATGTGATTGGAGGGTACCGACCACCGGAGTGTTCTATTGGACGAACGTCCTGTCAATCTCAAAAAATATTCCCGCCTCTCAAAAATCTCTTCACCGATTGGCCAGTTTCTTTTAAAGCGCTGCATTGTGATACTTCAGTTCTTTCTAATACTACATACGTTTGATTTGTTTTATTTTGTTTCACTGGAAATACGGACAGTAGATTCAAATATTCTTTTTGTTCAAAATAAAATCAGAGTCAATCAACAACAGAAGATTTCCCTGACAGTATAGACTGTTCAACTATTACCACACATGGCCAGAGGCAACATCTTTTGTCTTAGTGGTCTGTTCTGCAGAAATAAGGTATCAAATTACATGACAAAAAAAAAAAAGAAAAAAAAAGTGATGTGTGAAGCAGACGGCCACTCCTCCTTTCCCCATACGCAATTGCCCAAGTGTGCTTGCACTCTTTTCACATTTAAACTCAATTGAGTTACACAACTAATTAATAGGCAGCATGTTCATAGCCTAAATACAAAACAGGATGAAAAAAAAAAATCTAAAACCAGTTAAATGTATTTGCTACTTTAATAAACTGGAAAAAAAGATTGAAAGGACAAATGTCACTTTATTGTTTATTAGAGCATGCGTCTTATTAAAAAAGCAAAGCCTACAGGTGAAACAAAAATGTTTTAGTCCACATTAAGGAAACAGAGGGAGTTTTAAATTGTGTGTCAAATTAGAAAAACAATAAAAATGATTTGTGATTCTGTCAAAGACAATAGTCTATCAGGGTGTGGCTTTATCACAAAATACACCCACACCTTTAAAAGTGAGGTTACTTTTTTATCATTATCTCAGGCAGAAGTACAAAGGGCAACAATAGTTCAAAGATGATGAAGTGGAGGTCTGGTTCTGAACAAAGTTGTAAATAGGTATTTAAGTAGCCTCACTTCAGAGAACTAGTTTAATTCTGATTAGACTGATGAGCTAATGGCTAGTCCGAGCAGCATAGAGACCAAAGTCAAACACTTCCATCTTAAAGCAGCTTTCAGAACAAATATTTAGACCTTTTCTCCTCAGAATCATCAATAATTGTCGGTACTGCTCAGATAAGTGCTTCAGAGCATTCTTTAAGATTATATTTCAAACATTTTCTTCAGGTATTCACAATATTTTGACAAAATCCAATTTTTGCAATTTTTAAAAAAATATTTTCAAAATGAAGCAATTTAAAGAGCTATCTGCAACAAGTAAGATATTGATTGTTCTTTTTCACAAAACACCTGTTCAAAAGACATGACCGATCCCATTACAGCTTATAAAAGATATAAAATAAAAAATATGAAAAGCTTATGTTTGATATTTTTGTCAATAAATCGGTTTGCAAAGACTAAATAATTGTGGTAAGATTTACATCAGGCTATTTGGTAACCAACAAAATTAGTTTGAAACGGCCTATAACTGGTTAAAACACAATTTGCCTTCATACACTACTTTGTTTTAACAGCTTAAAAATAAACCATTATTTCTTTGTGGTTCACTAAAGTTGATCATCCAGGTGTTTTTGGCGACATTCCCAAACCTTGGGACTAAAGCCTGCACCTACTCATTGCACAAGTGTCAGAAAAACAGCCTAATAAATCTATACATGTTGTGACATGATGCATAGGCCTCAAGATACATTTGTCAGACTTCAAAATGATTTCATCCTAAATGTTTGGCTTACAGGATCATCTTTCATATTTTTATGTTGTTGCATCGGTGCGCTGCACCCATGACGTCGCTTGCGTCTGTGTTTTAGTGATTGTTTGTCAGGAAGTCTCAGACTTGTCTCAGCACATTGACACACAGTGCAGCATAATTTATTTTTAACCCTAGAATTTCAGAAGCTTCAAAAAAGTTAATCCCACGCCGCCCAGGTTTTGATCTATGTCTGATGCTGGCTGACTCAGAGAAAGCCCCCCGGGCCTTTCATTCAGGCCAAAATGTAATTATGTGGAGAGCAATTACACTAAAACATCAAAGGCTTGTGTTTACTGTAGGAGCTGGTTATTTAGACGTTTAGTTTCTTTCCTCATTTTAATATTTTACACTGAATTTGTTGAACAACCAATGATTTGCAACTGTGCAGGATTTTTATTTTATTTTTTTCACCCTATGCAAAATGAGTGAATTGAGAAACAATAATCCAAAAGCATTTTGGCAGTGAAGCTAAAAATAAAGTGAAAGTGTGGAGAGTGCAAAGTCTCCCAAGCACTGAAGCATACATCTACACTGTTGAAGGCCACAAAACTACAGCAAATCTATGGGAGGAGAAATGGAGCAGAACAAGAGCATTACTAAAGTTTTCTGCAAATGGAAAAAGGGAGCAATCAAAGAGAGGAGGATTATTTGTGAGATCATTTCCTGTCCCCCCCACCACACACACACACACATGCCTACCTCAATGTTTTCATTTGCTACTGATTTGCAACCACAAGCCAAAAAAAAAAAAGGACAAAATAAAATGCTTAAGTTTCCTGACCAGAAAAGACCAAGTGGCAAGTGAAGCAGAAATAAATAAATAAAAGTAGGGGGAAAATTTAGTTTTTTTTTCAGGTTTACCACATTTTTACATTAGGATTAGAGAAACCTTTTTTTCTGATACTCAAAACTGTGAGACCACAGAAAGTAAGCTGGAATAAAAGAAAAGCCTCTTTGTGTTCATTCTGACGCGTGTTTGAAAATAAATGAAACATATTAATGCTGCCGTCCCTCATGGCCCTGMCGGGGGAAACTTTTCCCAAAAGTGTGGAGATTTTACCTGCTGGGGTCAGAGACTTTAAGACAAAAAAAAGTGTGGGGGGGTACATGCAGGTTAATTTCACCTCGACTCCTTGAAAACAAAAGGTTGACCTCACTTGTGGAATTTGCGTGCTGAAGGGAAGGGTAAAGTGGGGCCCATCAAAGAGCAAAGGTCAGGCTCCGGAGGGGGGGAGGGGACCCAATAATTGGAGGAATTGGTGAGAGCCAAACTGAGCTCTTTTGTTTTGGAACAGCAGTGTCCTGCAAGGTCTGCTTGTCTTTCTGTGGCTCATGTAGGGACAATATAAAGCTGACTTCACTCCTGGACTCCTCAAGTCAATTGCCCACTGTACTCATTTATAATAACAATCACAACAATGTCATTTTTGATGAGGAGAACATTTCGTCCACGAGCAATGAGCTGTGCAAGGTCTGCAGACACTTGAGCTGTTTTTTTTTAAAATAAAAACTGCATATAGGCCTGCAAAAGTTTTCATCCCTCTTGGTATTCTTTCTGTTTTGTTGCCTTGAAATCTGGAATTTAAATGGATTAAAAAAAAATCATCAAATGCATCCACTCTTCAAACGTATGTCAGAGTTATAATGTTAAATTGGGAGAAACTTGTTTTAAATAATTCTAAATAGGAGAATCTAAAACTGAATTAAAGGTGCAGACATGCATGAGTTCAATTCCAAAATGCCACCTCTGCTGTGRTGAAAAACAAAAAAATTAACTCTAAAAATTCACATGGAAGTGATAACAAACGACCAAACTGCAAATGAAGATTTACAATTATCAGTGCATGAAACACAGTGAAGTTTGTGTGCCTAAAACCAGAACAAATCTGCTTGAAATGACATTAAAAATTGTTTTGTGTGTCCTGTAAAAAAAGAGTGTCACCCTGATCCTGTTTGGGCTGTTGTGGTTTGACGTGTCTCATCGGCGTTCCTTGTTTTCTTCTGTAGAATCTCGAACAARTCTCATTATTTGGCAGTAAAAACAATCCAGCTCAAAGCCTGTAATGAATCACTGTCTCTTTTCTTGTTTGCAACCAATAAAGACAAGACACTGAGGTCTAACCCTGCTCTACAAACAGCAGGTTATGAGCACCGACATGTGCAGTGTTTCCCTGTGAGCTGTACAACCAGCAGCTGATTGGACAAAGAACAGATCCAGAATGTGCCAAAGGGACTACATTTCCCAGCTGGCATGGGAGGAGTGRGTGGAAGCAGCTGATGGGAGTGAGGTCACTTGAGGTATTTAAATAWAAAGCTACATCAGACTCCTTAAGCTGTGGGAGAATAAGTGAGTTAACRAAGGGATGATAAATGGCTTTGTGTGTAATCTTTGCAGAGGTCAGGCACAGGTCTCCGAGCATATTCTGCTCTTTAGTCAGGATTTCCTGTTTTTTTCCCCTAAATATTCATTAAAACATTTAGGAACTTCCTCACAAAAAAGAAAAAAATAMGACATTTAATGTGAATAAAGCTGCTGGTGATCAAGCGGATCAAATAATGCAGTTTGTTAAGCTCTTCACCAATCTATATTAATCATGAAGACTCATAAATCAGAGCTGTGACAGTTTCCTTCCAGAGAACACTGTTTGAGTTAAACTTGTGCTCCCACCACTACCTTATTTATTTCACCTCCTAGCTCCACCCCTGTCACCGTCTTGCCAGAGGAAAGTGGAAATTTCCAGTAATTCCCGCTGCTTCGCAAGAAGGACTCCTCCTCCTTCTGGTTTCCCGCCTTTCTTTCACCCTACCTGCCTTCTCCTCCTCCTGCTGCTGCATGTGGGCCTGCTTGAAGACCCCATGGCTATGTTTCTCAACCTTTTCCTTGCACAGAAGTTTTCACTTTTCGTATGGAAAACATGCCTTAAAGGAAACTTTGGGGGGGGGAAAAAGCTGTCTTGTGGCTGAGCAATTCTATACATAATGTTGACATATGTTTCAAGGTAAAGGAGGGCGAAAAAAGTTTTTGCTCTGTGTAGTTTGTGTATGTCTAAATACCCCATGAACCACTGGGTGATTTATAATTAAAGTTGCAGAAAGTAATTTACAAATTATTACCTTTTGAAGTCAACATGATTCAAGATGGCCACCAAAGAAAACAGAACTTCAAAAACACATAAATGACTTTAACTCAGTGAGTTGTACAGATATTAACCTAAAACGTGGTCTGATAG